GGCAAGCTAGGACACCGAGCTAAAGATTGTCGTAGCCGCAAAACACATCATAACCCCAAGAAGAAGACCACTGAGGTGCACATAGCTGAAGAAGATAAGTTGACAGCTGATGTATCAGAGTTAAATCTTTCAGCTGTGGTTTCTGAAATCAACCTGGTAAGCAACAACAGAGAATGGTGGGTGGACACAGGAGCTACTCGTCATGTTTGCTCTGAAAAGAGGATGTTCACTACCTATGAAACTATAAATAATGAAGAACAACTCTACATGGGGAATTCTTTTACTGCAAAGGTTGAAGGACAAGGAAAGATCAAGCTACTAATGACCTCAGGGAAAGAGCTCACTCTTAATAATGTGCTGCATGTACCAGACATCAGGAAGAACTTGGTCTCTGGGTCACTACTAAGCAAGAATGGGTTCAAGCTGGTCTTTGTATCTGATAAGTTTGTGCTGACTAAGAATGGGGTGTATGTGGGCAAAGGGTATCTAAGTAATGGACTATTTAAGTTCAATGTAATGACTGTTGTACCCAAAGCTATTAATGATAATAATAAAGCTAGTGCTTCTTCTGCTTATATTATTAACTCATCTGATGTATGGCATGGTAGGTTAGGACATGTTAATTATGATACTATTCGTAGATTGATTAACATGGAATCTATACCTAAATTTAATATTGATTTAAATCAAAAATGCCAAACATGTGTAGAAGCAAAATTGACTAGAACCTCATTTCACTCCATAGAGCGAAGTACTGAACCTCTAGCATTAATTCACAGTGATATCTGTGACTTTAAATCTGTGCCAACTAGAGGTGGGAAAAAGTATTTCGATACTTTTATTGATGACTGCACAAGATATTGTTATGTATACTTGTTAAGAAGTAAAGATGAAGCCTTGGAAATGTTTAAACATTACAAGAATGAGGTTGAGAATCAACTTGGAAAAAAGATAAAGATGTTTAGAAGTGATAGAGGTGGTGAATACGAAATACCATTCGCTGACATCTGTTCAGAACATGGTATTATTCACCAAACTACCGCTCCTTATTCACCTCAACAGAACGGTGTTGCTGAACGCAAAAACCGTACCTTAAAAGAAATGATGAATGCTATGTTGATAAGTTCTGGTTTAACCCAGAATTTGTGGGGGGAAGCTTTGCTCTCTGCTAATTATGTTCTCAACAAGGTACCTCAAAAGAAATCAAATGTGACACCTTATGAATTATGGAAAGGTCAAAAACCTTCCTCTAAATTCTTAAAAGTGTGGGGGTGTTTAGCTAAGGTTGCGGTTCCTACTCCTAAGAAAGTTAAGATAGGACCAAAAACCTTTGATGGTATTTTCATAGGCTATGCACAGAATAGTAGTGCATATCGTTTTCTTGTGCATAAATCAGACATTCCTGATATCCATGTCAATACAATTATTGAGTCAAGGAATGCTTATTTCTTTGAGGATATATTTCCTTGCAAAAATCCTCTTAAAAGAAATTATGATACTGCTAATAGCAATATACAAGAGAATATAGACCAAGAGTCTATAGATGATGAAAATGAGGAAGAACCTAGACGTAGCAAAAGAGCTAGAACGTCTAAGTCATTCGGTCCTGACTTTCTGACATATATATTGAAGAATGAGCGACAAAGCTACAAGGAAGCTATGTCTTCTCCTGAAGCTAATTTATGGAAAGAAGCCATAAATAGTGAAATTGAATCCATCATGCAAAATCATACTTGGGAGCTGGTGGATCTTCCTCCTGGTACTAAACCTTTAGGGTATAAGTGGATTTTCAAGAGGAAGATGAAGCCTGATGGTTCAATTGAAAAATATAAAGCCCGACTTGTTGCTAAGGGATATAGGCAAAAAGAAGGCCTGGATTATTTTGATACATATTCACCAGTCACAAGAATAACATCCATTAGATTGTTACTAGCTATTGCAGCACTGCAAAACTTAGAAATACATCAAATGGATGTTAAGACTGCCTTCTTAAATGGTGAATTAGAGGAGGAAATCTATATGGAACAACCTGAAGGGTTTATAGTTCCAGGGAAAGAAAAGAAGGTGTGCAAACTTGTAAAATCCTTATATGGATTAAAACAAGCACCTAAACAATGGCATGGAAAATTTGACAAAGTGATGTTGTCAAATGGTTTTAAAATTAATGAGTGTGATAAATGTGTGTATGTGAAAAACACTCAAAATGGATATGTCATTGTGTGCCTATATGTGGATGATATGCTAATAATGGGTAGTAATGATGTTATAATCAAAACTACTAAAAAGATGTTGACCAAAAATTTTGATATGAAAGATTTAGGCATAGCAGATGTCATACTAGGAATTAAGATTTCTAGAACATCAGATGGTCTAGTATTATCTCAATCTCACTATATTGAGAAAATATTAGAAAAGTTTAATAAAGGGGATAGTAGTCTTGTAAAGACTCCTGTTGATGTAAATCTTCATTTATCGAAAAATACTGGTCCTAGCATATCACAACTTGAGTATTCTCGCATTATAGGAAGCTTAATGTATTTGACGAATTGCACACGCCCAGACATAGCATACTCAGTTAATAAATTGAGTAGATATACTAGTAATCCAGAAAAGAACCATTGGACTGCAATAATTAGGGTTCTAAGGTATTTAAAATATACTATAAGTTATGGATTACATTATTCTAGATATCCAGCAGTACTTGAAGGATACAGTGATGCTAATTGGATATCAGATACTAAGGATTCTAAATCCACAAGTGGCTATGTCTTTACTATTGGAGGAGGTGCCATATCTTGGAAATCTTCAAAACAAACTTGTATTGCCAGATCCACTATGGAATCTGAATTTATTGCTTTGGATAAAGCAGGTGAAGAAGCTGAGTGGCTTCGTAATTTCTTAGAAGATATTCCAAATTGGCCTAAACCGGTGCCCGCTATATGTATACATTGTGATAGTCAATCAGCAATTGGAAGGGCACAAAGTAATATGTACAACGGTAAGTCTCGACATATACGTCGATGACATAATACCGTTAGACAATTGCTCTCAAGTGGGATAATCTCAATAGATTATATCAGGTCAAAAGATAATTTAGCGGATCCGTTTACAAAAGGTTTGACAAGAGAGCAAGTATATAGTTCATCGAGGGGAATGGGATTAAAGCCGAAAGCTAACGAGTCATCTTAATGGAAACCCAACCTAGTTGACTGGAGATCCCAAGATCTAGGTTCAAAGGGACAACAGAAATACTGAATGGCTCACCAGAAGCACTGGGAAGATTCAATCTTCTACCCATTTCTATGATGAGATAGTGTTACCTACAGCGATGAATAGGATAAGCTATGCTTTTAATGACTCTTATACCTTGAAAATTCAAGTGGGGTATGGTAGGATACTCTTAATAAGAAGTCACCTATATGAGTGTGAAGTGGGGCCGCTTCTATGAGAACTTCTAAGGCTAAGTTTTCTGGAGCGCTCAATGAAATACCAGGCGTTGTTCAGGGCCATATGAACACAACCGTGAGAACCGACTTTGTGTGGGAAGGAATTGTGTGTTTGCTATTGTCTTGGTTTACATCAACGGCTGAACAGTTCAAGACATAATGTTCACTGGTTAGCTAGTAAATCCGATAGTAATACACTAGGGAAGGTTCAAGGCCAAAAGCTACCTATCCCGATGCAGTAACTTTCCAATAGTACTCTCTATAGTGTCTGTATCTTCTCCTTTTGTAATCTGCGCAAATTTTCATTCATGTGGGGGATTGTTGGAAACGGCATTAGAAAACGCAAACTTTGGAAGGATTTTTAAAAAGATTCCGCTAAGAATTTTTTGCGAATCTATTGACGAACGCGTTCCTCTCTGCGAGGAGATGAACGTGGTATATTTATTTTCTCAAATCCGTTTCCGGGTGAATGAGAAATTGGCTCCAAAGTAAGTGATTTATAAAGCCTAAATGGGTGTGAATAAAGTGGGAAATGCTTGTCCCACATCGAAAAAGTAGCAAAGCAACCTTGAGTATATATATGTCTAGTATGGGATTTGGGTTTGGGCCCAAGGGCACCCAAGTTTTTTAGAGGGGGAGGACCTAGGCTAGCCTGGATCCGAACCAACTACCACGCGCGCGCCGCCCGCCCGGTCCGGGGCGGGGCTTGATTGTGAAATGGGTTTAACTTTTTACCCAAAGTTGGGATGGGCCTGTGTGGTTGTAATTTTATTTTGTTGCTGGACTTATCAAAATGGGCCTGTTTACTGGGCTGAGTTGGAATATTTGCTTGCTGGACTGGACGAAATTAAAGGGCTGGGCTGGATCAGAATTAAAAGGATTCAGTTTTAAATTTTGAACCAAGAGTTGCACCCTTTACAAATTAAAAACCACCAACAGTTTTTTAATTCTGATTGGTCAACAATGGTTGTACCCATTCGGACTATGGGTGGACCCATTCAGAATAGGCACTAACAAGCCTATAAATACCCATCATTGGGTTCATTTCAATACACACCAAGTTCAGAAATCTTCTTCTCTTCTTCTGAATTTCTTCTTCTAATTCTTCTTTGTTCGGTTCAGCCACTGGTTTGGGTTCAACCTAAACTGGTTTGGATTGGGTTCGAACCTTGGTTTCCAAGTTTCGGTTCAATCTTGGTCTCCGATTTAGGGTTCAATCCTGGTCTCCGAGTCTGAGTTCAACAGAGAGTACTACACCGAGCCAGTTCGCCTATTCCATTGGTTTGAAGTGCTACTACCAAAGGAAGAAAAGTCGTTGTATCCTGGGAGATAGACGCCGAAGAGTCCGTTAGCATCGTAGCGGGGCGTATCTGTCTTAAGGCTATAGAATTAAATTCTAGCCTCGACTTTATCAGGTTCTTTTATAGTATTATTTTCTTGATATTAAACTATATAAATATATATATAGATTATTATAATAAATATTATATTTACAAATAATATTTAAATAAATTATACTATAGTATAGGCTCTCTTTTCAACAATGACTTCCCCCAAAAATATGAGAATTATAAATATTTTTGGGAAATTCATTGGTCATTGTGTTATTTGAATTGTAGGATACACTGTGAGTTTTATGAGACAAGTAGAATTTACAAAAAAAATTTGCTCTAATCTATTTGTCTTGGATGTTGTCGTTTTTTATCAGATTGAGAATTTGTTTTACAACATGACTGCTCGGAGAAAAATACTTCAGAACTCTGCTGATGATTATCCTAAAATTGTAGATATCCTTAGCAGGTTTGCCATTCATCACATAAATGCTAGCTTCTCCTGTAGAAAGGTTTGTCTTTTCACCATTCGTGCTCATGTTTATCATGTTGTAAACTTTTCTTTCTCTCCTAACTTCTTTAACCTGATGAGAAATATTTCTTCATATTACTCTTCCATTGTATGCAGCATGGAGCTGCTAGAGCAGATGTTCACTCAGTCGCCACGTCCTCAAGGCTTGGTGCGATCAGATCTGTTTATGGGGTGTCAGTTGCTCGCAATCTGATGAAAATAGAAGTTTGTGATGATGATCCATCTACTTCAGTATTTGAAATGGATGGTTTCATCTCCAATTCTAATTATGCTGCGAAGAAGATAACAATGGTACTTTTTATCAATGGTATGTATCAGCAATATTATACTGGGATAAGATTTTTAATTTTGTGGTCTGTTTTTTCCCCCTAAATGGAATTGTATTAAAAAGAAAACAAAAAAGTACAGGAGGAGAAGTGAGGGCCTACCCTCACATTACAAAACTCCATTTCCAGTAAACATAGAACAAGAAAATAAGAGAAGACATCAAAATAAAAAGCATTACATCCCATGCCAATCAGAAATCGAAATTCCTGCAATATAAAAAAATCCCAAATTACCTTTGTTGCCGCAGCTGAAGCAAAAGATATTGATCTCTGATGAAGTGCCAAGTTCCTAGCCTTCCAAATGCCCCAAACTGCACTAGTGAACACCATTCTACAAATATGATTCTTCTGAGATTTATCTTTGAAAAGCATTGACTCCCCACTGAATCAACTGACCAAAGGTGGAGCTGGAGGGATAGACCCTCCAATACAAGCCACGATACACTGTCATACTTCTTGGGCAAAAATGCATTGCCAAAAAAACTCTGTAACTCTAATGAATGGATAATATGTTTTGTTTGTTTGTTATGTAAATATAACTCTATAACTCTCGTGAATGGATATGTGGTCATAATCAAACCAATGTGCTGAATATTTAATTACCACACCATCCTTTTATAACATATTCAATCACTCTGTTATTTTATTTTATTTATTTATTATTTTTCTTTTTACCAAGTACATTGCCGACCCCTCCTGAATTGAAATCCTGGCTCCGTCTCTATGGGTCACATCTCGTTCTCCATCAAGACTAGTAATGCTCAGAGTGTAAAATTTTAGGGAATTAGGAAGATGTTCATAAGTTGTCTTATCAAAAAGGCAACATGTTAATAAGATTGGTGTAAATGAAATGTGGGTGTTGAGATGGACGTGTAGCAAGATAACAAATGTTTCGGATACAATCACAGAAAGTTAGAAGTAGAACCAATTGATGGTGAAGTGAAAGCAATTGGCCTAGAATCAAGATGGTTTTGCCATGCATTATTGCAACCAATGAGGGCACTATGAAGCAAGAGTGAAATGTCCATGCCATAAATGTGTTTCTAGGATAAGGACATGGTGGCTCAGGGCAACTGAAACGTTGGAGCTGGATAGAGTGGAATGCTGAAGCATAAGTCATATGGTTAACCCCAAATGTTTGGAAGAAGACTTTAGTTCTAAGTGGAACAGGACCAATTATCTATAACTTGAGCCTAGTTCGAGTTTGTTGTGGGCTTGGACTAATATTTATATACTTGGTTTGGGCTTGGGCTGAGGCTACAAAACCTTGACTGACGTGCTTGAAGCTTATTATTTTAAATTATCTGTGTGAACATGTGAAGGTTTTATGCATGTAAAATAAGATTAATTTTATTGCTTATGCATTTGTGTAGACAATGTGTTACCGAGGGGTACTACTTGGTAGAGGTCGCCTAGATTGCTTAACTTCATCGAGTATACCTTGAAATGAAATACCAACTAACTGTATTTGAAAAAAGAACCAGTAATATTCTCTGCTGTTCTTTTTATTATTGATTGTTTTGTACTGGAATTTTTTATCTATTTAAGTTCGTGTGTGAATTAGAACATTGTATGTGGATATGCAGGTAAGTCTTTTGAATCAGGAAGTTATTATTGAAAAGATACAGTCTGCCGTTGAATCAAAATTGAGAAACTCCAATGATGCAAGGACATTTCAGGAACAGGTATATTGCAAACTTGGTGTATGAGCTCAAGTAGATACTTTTCAGCATTTGATAAGAAATTTTTTGGTTCTTTAAACTCAATAAACAGTTTGATTACTGCCCCTTGTATTACCTTAATGAGCTTTATGTAGGAGGGTATAATAACAGAGAGAGGGCACAAGTCATTCATGTTTCCTTCCATAGGACATGCTAGATTTTCTGGTGTTCCAAGTTTTGGTTTCTACGTTCTATATCTCTTTTGTACCTAAATGTTCCATACTCTAGTTTACAATGATCTTATTACAAAATGCTGTATGATGGTGCAAAAGCACCAAAATAACCAACGCTATAAATTACTGAAAACTAGATTTATTCCTACCAACCAATATGACCCCTCTTATGTCGCTCGATAGGCTAACATTCCAAAACTGCACTTGATCATGGAATGTAGATACCAAGTCATTTTTTTTTTTCTTAAGTAATAAATAAATAAAAAGGCGTTCAAAAGGGGAACACGTTTCTTATACAAAAGTGGAACCGGGGACTAAGGCCCTAAAAAATCCAAAAAACTAATTAAATCATTGGAAGAGGAGCAAGAACTCCCCTTCACATAATTGAAAAGAGAGCAAATAATGAAAAGTTTCAGCGTCGCCGTAGACGACTCATTCCCTTCGAACATTCTACTATTTCTCTCCTTCCAGATGCACGACCAAACTCAATGTGGGACAATTCTCCAGTAATCGCGTACATCTCTTCTCACATGACATTCTCTCCAAGCATGAATCAAATCCTTAGAAGAACGTGGCATTACCCAACGCATGCCAAACAACCCAAGAATAAGATTCCAACAGTCGTGCGCCACGGGGCACAGTGCACGAGGATATGATCAACTGACTCACCATCTTGCTTGCATAGGCAACACTAATTAACAAAACAATTCCCCCTCTTCCTCAAATTATCAATCGTTAGTATCTTACCCCATACAGTGGTCCAAACAAAGAATGCCACCCCAGTTGGAGCCATAGAACGCCAAATGGTCTTCCACGAAAAGTCAAGGCTATCAAGATTAGAAAGACATAAGAACAAAGATCACACTTCGAAATGACCATGGGAAGAGGGAATCCATGTCAGATCGTCACTACCTCTGCCAACTCCTTCATGCCGATACAACTGATCCAGAAGAACACATACCTCGTCCAACTCCTAATCCTGAAAGGAACGCCGAAAGTGCACGTCCCACGTAATCCCACTATTATCAAGCCGATAATAGTCAGCTACGTAGGCGTGTCTATCAACTGCAATACTGTATAGTTTGGGAAATGTACGAGATAATGGCTGGCCACCACACCAAAGATCTTCCCGGAAATGAACACATCTACTGTCGTGAACTTTGAATCTGATATGAGAAGAGAAGACATCCCATCCCTTCCGAATGAATTTCCACACCCCGACTCCTCCCATAAGAGAAACTGAACGGGTAGACAAACCGCCAAACTCTTTCCCAAACTAAAATGAGACTAGCCTTCGCTAAGGATGATGTCTTTCCTCCCATATCTCCACAACCATTTGCCCTGGAGAGCTTGGTTAAAAGGAACCAATCTTCTGATGCCAAGACCACCCAACTTCATAGGCTTGCAAACTTGCTCCCATTTGACAAGGTGATAACTCTTCTCCCCTTTCACCCCAAAGGAAATCCTTTTGAATTTTTTCAATCCTATCAGCAACGGAGCACAGAATTTGGAACATAGATAAAAAAATTTATGGGAAGGCTCAATAAAGTGCTCTTTACAAGAGTAACTTTATCCCTCTTAGACAAGTATTGCTTCTTTCATCTTGCCAATCTCTTCGCATACCTGTCAATTATAGGATCCCAACTCCCCGCTCTCCTAGAAGAAACCCCTAGGGGCAAACCCAAATAACTAATGGGAAAAGAACTCACCTTACACCCAAGGACTGCAGCTAAAGAAGAAATATCCTGAACATTCCCTACCGGGATAAGCACGCTCTTAGCTACGTTGACCTTCAGCCCGGAAACCACCTGAAAACAATCCAGGATGCACCTCAAATATCTAAGTTGAGACACATCAACATCACAGAAAACCAGGGTATCGTTCGCAATAAGTAAATGAGAAATCTCCACCTGATGGACTAAATATCTTCCCACCCTAAAGCCCTTAATAAGACTAAGATCCTCTGCCCTTCGCATGAGTCTTCTTAAGCCCTCCATAACAATTAGAAAAAGGACAGACAACAAAGGGTCTCCTTGTCTTAAACCCCGAGTACACCCAAAAAAACCAGCGGGAGATCTGTTCACAAGAACTGAGAACTTGACAGACGAAAGACATGTCTTAATTCATTTCATCCATCTACTTCCAAACCCCATTCTTTGTAACAAATATAGTAGGAAATTCCAATTCACATCATCATACGCTTTCTCAATATCAAGTTTGCATAAAACTCCAATAACACCACTTCGCAATCTGGAATCCACACATTCGCCTGCAATAAAAATTGAATCTAGAATTTGCCGTCCTCCGACAAAAGCATTCTGGGAATCCGAGATAATCCCATCCGTTACTTCCCTCATCCTTAGAGCAAGCACCTTAGCCACGAGTTTGTAAATACAACCCACTAAGCTAATTGGTCTAAAATCCTTAATGTCAGAAGCGCCTCCCTTCTTAGGGATAAGGGCAATGAATGAGGCATTTAGCAACTTTTCAAGTCATTCTACAGATACCATGTCATTATTTGAACCCAACATCGCAAAGTAACCTAATACCATCTCAATAGATAGGTTAAGCTTTGACATTTATATATCTAAATAGTAGCAATGTAATTGCAAACATGGGACACTTATAACGTAGATAAGGTGTGGAAACAGTAGTTTTTGTTTTTGTTGTTGTTGTTTTGTTTTTTTTCTTTTTTTTATTTTCTTTAAAATGGAATATAGTTGCAAGTTCTTCTGACCTGCATTATCTGTTGAGTTCCTTTCTCTCTCTTTTTCTCTACTTCTGTCTATCTATCTTTATCCTTCTCTAAATTAAGAATTCGTATTTCCTGTGCTGGTGCTGTTTCTGCTTTGCTCTGCATTTTGGGGAAATACGTACATCCAAAACGTTTCCCTTATTTTGGATGTCTTTGGTTTCATGTATGAGGCAGAGCCTTGATCCCTCTCCATCCAGTCTTGTGCCTAAAACCATTAGTCCACCTTCTGGTATGCATAATTTTTTCTTTTTTATTTCTGTTGGCTGGACTAAACTCTTGGCATGTCTAATAAGTATATTTGTTTGTTCCGTATTATTGCCTCGTTCTTTACAGGTTCAAAATTGCAAAAGGTTCCAGTGAAAAAGATGGTACGGACTGATTCACTGGATCCTGCTGGAAGGTTACATGCCTACTTGCAAGCTAAGGCTCCTGGTCAACTTGAAAGAAACTGTAGCTTGACCTCTGTGAGATATGTTCTATATGTTCATCCATATAACTTCAATTACTGAGACAGACACTTCTATACGCTGTTACAGATGGGTGTGAAAATTGCATAAGCATTGATAGTTAGCAAACCATGTGGAGCAAAATGAGTCACTATTTAGTCAGTATTTCTCTATGTGGAATATAAATAAGGATCGTTATTATTTTTACTCGTTATTATGTTTATTTCGGGATTAGACCTACTAAAATCAAGGTATCAACAATAGAATGCACAAATCCAGTTTAACACAGATGAGAGCCGTGACACCCAAGGTCCTCTAGCTTCATGATCCTCCGCGACTACTTGATCCATGATCATTATGGTTCTGTGACCCTTAATTGTTTGACTTCTGACATTATTGAAACCTCCTACTGCAGTGATGTTGTTGTGATCATTAATTCAATTGCACACAAATACCATAAATATACACCAGATAGTACAGGCTCGAGACTGGTTGATCATAATAGAGTGACACTACCCGGAGATATAATGAGCAAAACCCATGATATCATAATGATATATTCCTCTTTGTTATAACAGAAGATGAAGGAGATAATGTTTTATTATCTAATCAAGTTAATTATTAAAATTCTCTGTAATTGAGTTTTAGAAGTTGAGTAATTGGAAGATGTAGCTAACTTCTAAAAAGTTCTATCAAGTTTTTGGGTGGATATCTGGAGGATAGTTTGGTTGGTTATAGACTGAAGGTTCATTTTGTAGGGAAACGTACAAGTTTTAAAAACTTTCTGAGGGATTTTCATACATAAATCTTAATTCATTTTATATATTTAAGTTTTATGCAAAACTAAAATTTGATTTATCATTCAATTAATAGATTGAATACTTACATCAAGGTTTGAGTAAACTTAGATCTCTCCTCTAAAGTGAATGTTCTCACTTATTGTAGATCCCTTTGCTACATGCCTTTTCTATGAATCTCCATCTTCTTGGTAATAGTTTTGCCTTTAGAAATCACTCATAAGCCTTCATGAATGACCTTGGAAAAATAGGCTTGTGGGAGCCTCTATTAGATGATAATACAAACCCTAAAAATATAGAGAGAGAAAATAAATTTTTCTTTTTCTTCTCAAAAGTGACCCCTAACTTATACATGAACCCATGTATATATAGGCAACATAAAAATAAGAAAAGGAAATAATAAATCCTTCTCAATCTCTAATTCACATATCTAAAATCTAATACGATTCCAATATCAAGTTGGGCTATGAGTGAGAACTCTATTGGGCTTATTATTTTCTTGACTTCAATGAATTAATAATTGGCCCGGTCCATGTACCCAATTCAATTAATTTCTACTCCACTAAAAGAAATTAATTGAACTCCAATTAAATAATAAATAACCTCTAAGTCAATGTTGCACTTTGACCCCTCTATGCATAATTAGTTATCGGATAAATAAAGTCATCAATCCGACTACTTAATTACTATATTTATTTTGGTATATTTGATTATTTCTGGCTTGATCACGATAAAATATTTGTTTGACAAAAATAATAATTTAAATAAATAAATATATGATAAATCATTTTGT